TATTCACCTCGTCCTGGAATTGCTACATAAATCTGATCAAGCAAATAGATTTGGGGAAGCTCAGCCCGAATTTGCAGGTATCGAGGCTCTCACATGGTGAACCAGAGCAGGTTTGGGCTCAGCTCCTGAGCTGTGTTCTTGGCTGTGCCTGCTCAGGCTGATGCCCCACGGCTCCGAGGAGAGGCAGGGCAGGACAGGGCGGCCGAGCCAAGGTGTGCCCTGCAGCCTGCTGCCTGCCAAAATCAGCTTTCACCTGAATTTCAGCAGAGGCAAGGGCAGAGAGGAGACTAATGCTTCCCTCCCTGACAAGGACACCAGCGCTGCTGGGAGGGCGTGCAGCACTGCAGGGAAGGATGCTGGGGGGAGGTGGGAGGGATGACCACAGACAGGGGGAGCGTGGGCTGTGCAAAATTAGGGAAAACTGGATAGAAAGCCAGGTGGTTCCAATCTGAGCACTCACAGATGCCCTTTGCCAGCCTTCAGCCAGGCGAGCCTCAGTGCAGTTGTGAGAAGAACCCCAAAGTCTCCCTCGCTTCCCACTCACTACTCCCCACCTGCCCACTGCACCCACTCCAGGAGGACACTGATGCCTGGGGAGCCCAAGAGCCAGGCAGCTCTCCCGTGTGCATCGCCCTGAACATCATCTTTTCCCCCAGCCTTTTCATTAAAAGTGATTTCTTTTCCCAAGCAGTCTCCAAAGGAGATGCCCAAACCACTGAATAGCAGGAACAGCAGGAGAAGCATCACAAGGACATGAATGAGTGGGGGGTGTTTATCTCAATTTCTGCTTTCCAAAAACTGGAAAACACCTTGGTTTTGTGAAGTGAGGACAAGTGGGGAAAAAATCTTGTTGGCAGAGCCCAAGGAAGAGACTTGTGAGGTACAATGGGACCTCAGGCCTCAGCTGCCACGCAAGGACAGGGTGAGTCTGAGAATGAAACTGGTGCCAGTCTTGGGGTTTAAACGAAAATGGAAAAAACACCAACATTAAAAACTCTTAGAGATGCTGGATTTTTAGGACGTGAGTAACACCTCCAGCTACTCTGGGACCGTGGGTCCACTCAAGTGATGTGCGTGCCAGGCACTGCTTGGACCCGTGCCACCCGGCACTCGCTGCTGCTGGTAATGAACTTGGGCACTGCAAGATGAGCACTCTAAAATTCAGCTTTGGGATCTTCCTATTTTCCAAAGTGTTCGAGTGCTTTCTTCTTAGGCAGCAAGCTGCCACGTAGGGAATACTGTTCCTCAGGGAGCGCTGTGCATCTTCTGCCACCGGCGTGTTTTGTTCAGCGCTGCGCAGGGACGACATAAAATCCATGTGCCTATCCAAGTGGAATTGCTGACTCTATTACCCTGGTCAGAGAAAACCGTCTGCCTTCATCCTCCCTCTGATCCATCAGGAAGGGGACAGCAGTTCAGTGCCCTGGTGTACTGCATGTCCCAGATCTGCAGCCAGTGCTGACCAAGCTGAGTTCGGTGGAAACCCTTTGGGGGTGCAGGACACGGGGTGTTGCAGAGGTCAGACTGACACGTAGGATTATTTAAACCTTCAGGAAGGATGCAGGTATGTCGGAATCTGAGGTATTGATGATTCCAAGATTGTAGAAAGTCTCTGTCTTTCTGCCCCGTTGCCAAAGCAGAAGCCATAATTTGTCTGTGCTGGTTTCAAGGTTGTTTATTCTGTTTATCTCTAACATGTTCTGCTGCCCTGCCGCAGCTCTGTCCTGCAGGGCAGCGTGTGGGGCTCTGCCCTCAGTGGGATGGTACAAACATTAAATACCAGAAACTCCCTGTGCTGGATTTACAATAACGTGCCAATATCTGTCACCTACGTTGGACAGTGTGTCCCCAGCCTGAACCAACAGAAAAATGCCAACACCACAGTGAAACATGGAGGGCATGAAGAAGGAGAAAAAGGACAAGACACACCCAATTTCCTCCATCTTGTCCCCTTTGGACCCCTAATCTAGAATCCTAAAATTTTACTTTTGCACCCATGCCACACTTAATTATTCCTTATATCAAACACTCAGAGCTTGTAATTCATCCTGTAAGATTGAAAACTCTTTTCCATGGACAGAGATCACAGACAGTGTCTCTGGGGGCTCTGTCCAGGGGGTTCCTGACCCCTGCCAGGGTCCTGGGGCAGCCAGAGGGAAGCTCTGGACTCCCACACAGGTACAGCCCTTGTGCAGAGATCACAGATGCCCAAGGCAAAGCAGGGCAGGCTCTGCTTTAATGCACCTGAGGAAGGATGGGGAGGCTCTGCATCCCTCCCAGGCAGATCCCTCCTGGCTTCTGGCTACTTCCCTGCAGCCCCTCTCCCTAAGGTCACATTGCTGCCTCAAGCCAAAGGCAGGGATGTTTCATTCCAGCCAAGGCAGCTCCAAGAGTTGTCGTACTAAACTCCAGAGCTGTTCATCCGTGGGATGGCATTTTTCCCCTTGCCGGCTCTGGAACAGCCACAGAGCAGCCATTTATCAGCCTGGTGTGCACATCCAATCTCCGGGGCGCTCTGCTTCGCCTCCCGCTATCGGCCGTCCCCACGGTGCTTAACGAGGCAGCTATTCTGAGGCCTAATGAATTTGAAAAGTTTTTGACCCTTCTACTGCAGTTTCTCAAGCAGCAGGAGCCTGGAAAATAGCCTTAATGTCACCCAGAGCATTATGAGCCCGTGCAGTTATTGGCAGGTGTTCTGCTCAGGTGTTTCAGGGGTTTGGGAGAGCTGCCAGCGAACAGGAGCAGTGGGAGGTTCAGCAGAGAGGGCTTTTCCTTTGGAAAAAAGCTTTTCTTTCCTTCCATGAGGAAGTCGAGGGTTTGGTGACTTAGAGATGACCGGAGCTGTCAAGGACAAGGCAGTAAATTATCCCTCGGTCACGGCTCTGCTCCGGAGAGACTCAGCTCTGTCACTGCTCCCAGGCCAGGGGGTGCTTGCTGAATTACTGCAAGCATGCCTAATAAATCCAGAATCTAGTCCCCTTGCCTGGGCTTGCAGGTCAGGGAAATCCCAGCTTCGTTCCGGGATTTTTTTCTTCTTTCCCCTCACGCCAGAGAGTCAGGGAGCACAAAGCACCTCGAGCTTTCCTCTTTCCAGCTTACTTCTTTTCCCCATCCGCTTTCCCGAAGGACTTTTTTCCTCAGTCATTTATTTTTTAAAGAAAAACCAAGATGAAAATCTCCAGCCCTCCAAGGGCCATTAATTGCTGCTACTTCACGGTGCACAGGGCTGGGAATTGGTTTTTTTTGGTGTTTGTTTTTTTTTTTTTTTTGCTCAGCAGTTGAAAAACTCCTCCAGGGCAGCAGGAATCCTGTAACAAGGGTTTAGAGGTGGGACTAAAAGGCCAAAAGAAGCCCTTCAAGGAATGTGGCCTCTCTCTGTTCCCCTCCAGAACACTCCAGCAAGTCCTCCTGGACTCCCCTCACTGTTGCCTTGTCCCAGACATTTGTTTTGTCAGCACCAGGGAACAACCCCAGTCTAAGCCATTATCAGCCCACAGAGACATCAGCCATAATTGTAAGGTCCGTTAAATATGATTTAAATATTTTTTTACTCATTAACAACAATTTAGACTGATTCTCTCTCTTTTTTTTCCTGAAACTTCAAGTATGACTGTAATAGCTTTGTAATTTTGGGCTCTATCATTAAAATTAATGATATCGTAATGCTCTATGTGCACTAGAAAAGTCTGATCAGTTTTTTCCCCTTTATATATCATTACTAATAGAACATTTTAATGGCTGTAATTTCCAGCCCTGTAGATGGAAACCTAAAAATAGGAAGAAAGCCTATTTCATCACACCATGCCAGCCCCTAAATAATTCAATTACATAGACTGGAATATCTGAAGCTGGGTGTGTTCCCAGCTGCAGATAACCAAAAGTACTTGATCCTGCTTTTGAAGTGGGTTGGTTATTACAAGATCTCCTTCTCTGGTGCTGGTGAGGCTGCCACCAGGGATGCTGGCTGGAATCCCTGCCAAGGTCCAGATTCAGCAGCAGAGCTTCAGAGGCTCAGCCCAACTTGCAGTAAGTACAACCCACCTATTGTAAATGTATATAAACTTGGTGGGAAGAAATGCTGATGTCTGACTCCAGTTCAGAGGATTGAATGGTTTCTTTATTATAATTACACTGCAATACATTAATATACTATTCAAGGACATACTTAAACTACTTACTTCCTTTTTCTAACTACCATATCTAACTGATTCACAACTCGTGACTCTCTCATGAGAGTCTAGACAGAGGCGGGTTGGATTGGCCATCAGGCTCAAACAATCCTCACTAGAATCTAATTAATTAATTACTCTAGGTAAACAATTCTCTAAGCACATTTTACATGTGAAAAACAAGGAGCAGAAATAGAAATTGTTTTCTCTTTCTTTCTTCTGTGTTGCTCTATGAAAAAACCTTGAAAGAAAGAAGAGTGTCTCTGTGACACCCACCCACGGCTGGCAGGCAGTGCCTGCAGCCAGCATCAGCAAAGGCTCCTCTGTGGATGCCTCCAGCTCCAGGCTGAACTCCTGGATCCCTCTTGCTGTGTTTCCCTGCAAGCAGAGTCTGTGTCTCCCAGCTCTTCTCCCCCACAGGGAAAGGCAAGAGCATCACCACGACCAAAGCCTAAAGCTCCCCTAAACCTTTGCTAAGCACCCTGTTTATTATTCCCCACGGTCTTTCTCCTGCTGAAGGTACTTCCAAAGCCTTTCATCATCCCACACACCCCCACATGCAGCCAACACATTTCTCATCTTCACCTCACAGAGCTTATCAGACGCATTTCTACCATTTATTGGTTTATGCTTCACCTTCACCAGTGAGAGTTTAGAATTAAATTCTCTCGCTGGGTTATTTTTTTTTCATCTCTGTTTTTTCCTTGCCTAAGGCTGAGGAATGGCTGTGGTGAGCTCGTTACAGAGCTGGTCTGTCCCTGTGGTGGCTGGACCCAGCCGTGGGTGGGAGGGGAGGGATGTGGCGGGTCAGCTTCCAGCCCACGCATTTTCTCACCTCAATAACTCGCCGTTTTGCTCCAGAGCAGCAGGGTTTCGCTTGGCTCCAAGCAAACAAGACACGGCCATATCATCTGCTGTTTGTTAAATACAAAGCTGAGATTTTCCCTTTTTTTCTGTCCCTTTTCTAGGTTAGCTTTGCCTGGGCTCTTCATCCTGATGCAGCTCCATGGGCAGCCCCAGCCAGGTGGGAATGCACCAAGATCAAGGTGAGATGCTGAATATTGGCTGCTGAGTGCTGATGCTGAATATTGGTTTTATAATTGTGGCCTGGTCTGAGCTTTTCAGGCTTTTTGGCTTTTCTGTGGCATCCCTGAGGTGCCATACCTCAAACATCACCTTGTGCCATGGAGCAGGGAGGGACAGCAAGGCTTGGAAGGGCAGTGCTGGCACCAACTCCCCTGTGCCAGCACAGGGATGGCAAAGGTGAAGCACTGAACATGGGTGTTTTGTAAGTCTTCAGAGCTGGCCACATGTTCAGGAGAGAAAGAAAACCCTTTTATTCCACCTCTTCCTTGGGTTCCCAGCGTAGCAATGCCATAGCAGCAACCCATGGTTTGGTTTACTGTTCATGTTTGGGTGCCAAAGGGACCAGAGAGCTGCTTCCCCAGCAGCCAGTGGTAGAATTGCACATGAGTTCCAACCAGACGAGAGCAGGCTGAGTAAAACAAGGTGCTGTTCTGTCAAGGCACTGATTTACAATGCATCAGCCCTGACCCCGCTGACACTTCCCGTGGAAGGAAGCGACTGCCTGCTCCAAGTCCTCCACTGGAGCATGGCACAAGGAGTCTGAGCTGTGATGTCCTGGCCACGATATTTAAATGTTTGGACTTGTTCCCAAACAACTGCTGCATTAAAAGATATTTAATGCATTTATGGATGAAGATTTAGAGGCACAGTTACTGAAAAGGGCCAGGGTTGTCTCCTTTTGTCATTTGAATGACTCAGGTCTGAAAATGTGGTGTTTTGGCTGTGGGAGAGGGAGGATTTTCCTTTATCATCCTCATATTGGGTGCTCCTGGTGCTCCTGCCTACCTGTGTCAGCTGAGCTCCTCCTCACAAGAGGTTTATCCCATGAAATTGGGATGCCCTGCTTCCCCCAGGTGCTGCCCACACATCTCACCCAGGCCAGGGTGCCTAGGCTGCCCCTCAGCCCATCACTGTGCTGCCCTGCCACATGAGAGAATCACCCTCAGCACTCCCACCAGGGTGTGGGAAACAGCTTCGGGTATGCAGACCCCTCCCAAGGCTCAGGGGGCTCAACTGCCCATTTCTGAAGCAGGTCCCTAAGTGTTTGCAACTCTGTCCCTGTGTACCAGCATTTCCACGGGACATAAGAATTTCTCATCACACTTTTCTGTTCCTTTTGCAGCGGAGGTTTTCCTGCCTGGCATGGGGGGAGTGTGCAGAAGACCCATGAAGCGCTGGTGTGGCCCTGCTGAGCTTTGCAGGTGCTGGGAGCAGACCCAGGATGGTCAGGTTGTGAGTATAACACTTCTCTGCAGCAATAAATCCAGCGTGTGCATTCAGAACTGATGCACTTTTCTATCTCAAAAATCCTAATCAGTTTTTATCGGTGGCATCACGCTTCTCTGTGTGAGAGCTGCTCCACTATCTGCTGGAGGAGTGCTACAGTGCAGTAAAAGATACCGGGACATTTTCAAAGCTGTGTTTGGCTGCTCCTCTCCCCCTTGGAAGCTCCGTTCCCAGTGGGTTGTTGCCTGCAGCTGCTGTCCACAGGCACTGTGACACAGAGCCAGGCACAGATCAGGCACAGATCTGCTCCCTTCAGAACATTCCCAGCTTTCAGCCAAGCTCTGTGAAGGCAATTCCCAGGAGCAGGCACTGGCTGAGACCTGCAGCAGCTGTCCCTGTTCTCACTGTAACTCTCCAAAACTTCTCTCCTCACGAGGGTTTTTTCTTGTGCCCTGGGTGGCAATTAAATTGTGATCAATCAGTGTCAAATAAAAGTCATCGGAATATGGCTGTGAGGCTGATTGCCTGTAACCAGCGTAATTAGACAGCGAGGATTTTCTTCATTTTCTCTTTCTGCAAGAGGGCTAAAAGCCTCTGAGATTGGAGCTCCTGTGTCTGCAGCAAGGTGAATTCACATCTGACCTATTGTTCAAACACGAATTCTCCTCAAATCCAACCAAAGACCTCTCCAAAGAACAGAAGAGAGAGAGATAATCCCTGAAATTTATTGCCATTTTAGGATGTGTGGTAAGGTTGATTTCAGGGATGATGGGCAGGAGAGCAGGTCTAGGTCTCATCAACCCTGGTGTGATGCTGGCACTGCTGTCCCCAGCCTGGGTGTCCCCAGTGTCTCATATCATAGCCCTCTTCTTTGCCTCTCCAGTGACTCTGTACTGATTTCCTCAGGCTGACAAAAGTCGGCTGTTTCCATATTCCCTGTCACTGCTGATCTGTCCCTTCTCACTCTCCAAATCCTCTTTCCATTTCTATCAGCATTAATGAACTGCTGCTGTCCCCTAGCGCCGCCATCCCCTCACCCACCCAGAACTGTTTCATGTTCCAGTCAGCTTCACCAGCTCCTCGGCATCTCCCCAAAAAGTCCTTGGCATCAACAAAAGGCCCCTGGCATTACCTGCCACGGGGCCCTGCCTGTGCCAAGCACCACCAGGCTGCCACAGCCCATGCACTGAGATACTTTCCTAAGCGCTGGATAATTAAAAAAAAGGCAGCAAATGGAAGTAATTCCCACTTAGGAGGAAGGACCCGCTGGAATTCACACTGGGAAGGAGGATTCAACAGCTGTGCATTAGCATAATGTGGAAATGGCATGGAGAGCAGAGCTGAGCAGGGCTGCCCCCCTCTGCCTCAGGTTTCCCTGCTAGAGGGGAAGGCAGGAGTGAGCCCAGGAAAGGGGGGTGGCTGGGAACCCCCTCAAACGAGAGCCAACCTTTCTCCCAGGACTCTTCAGTTCAGCATGTGCCAGGAGAGGTTTCCTTTGGAAAGGTGAGTGGGATGTGGGAGCCCTTCCTGGGGCTGATTTACAACACATCAGCAATGACCCTGTTGACACTTCCCATGGAAGGAAGCGATTGCCTGCTCCAAGTCCTCCACTGGAGCATGGCACAAGGAGTCTGAGCCCCCACTGCTGCCACCCCCCTGACAGCTGCTGACATTTCTCCTTGGGCTCTGGCATTTATTTTGATCCATCTTGGGTTTGCACTTCTCTCTCAGGATTAGCAGGCAAATCAGCAAGATGTTGATATAGAAAGGTAAACTCACCCAAAACCAGAGCCCTTGCATCAGCCACAGCCCGTGGAGCGAGAGGGCAACTGAGGCAGCTTCAGCATCCCATGGGAGGGATAGGAAGCCCAAAACTCCTGTGGGGCAGCTTTCTGTGCCCTCTGAGTGCAGGCAGAAGTCAGCATGCCTGGCACTGACTTACCCTGAGATGGCATCGCTGGGCTCAGGGCTGCCTGGTGCCCTGTGTCCATCGCTGCCTGGCACCGCAGGGGAGACAGACAGATGGACAGACAGACAGACAGACCGCTCTGCATCGCTCCCAGGGCACCACGTGGGAGATGGACAGATGGACAGACAGACCGCACTGCGTCGCTCTGCGGGCATCACCTGGGGGACAGATGGACGGGCAGACCCCTGTGTGTCAGAGCGGCTGGACAGACAGACAGACAGACAGCCGCTCGCTGTCCAGCATCCCCCCGGCCGCACATCGTTTGCCCACAGGCTCCATCTTGTGGAAGATGCTCCCTCGAGGAGCTGAAGTGGGAAGCCACCCCCGGTGTGCGTGGGTCCACTTGGCACTGCCAGCGTGGGAGTCCTCACGGGGTGGCTGTGCTGGCACCGCTGGCACCCGGACTAACCCGCTCTGCCTCCCTGCGCTTAACACCACGTTCCGCCCCTGTGCAGCTAATGAGAGGAGCAAATGTGGTGGAATTTATTTTAACAGATGGAGGACAATTTTCTTCTCATCATTTATCCGACGCACCGCGCCGTACCAGCTTGCAGAGCCTCGGGCTGGGATGTGGAGCCACCACAGCTCTGCTGACAGCGTCACCGCCAGCTCCCACCATCCTGGCAGAGCAGCCTTTCCCTGTTGTACCTCTCAGCTGTGGGATAAAACCAGGTGGTTTTCAGGCTGCCGGATGCGCTGCCTTCCTCAGGTTTATTTACCATAGAATGTGACACAGTGGTTTCACTGTGTGTGATTTAATGAGACGTTAGGATGGAATTAATCATGGGAATCAGAGCTCGTGTTGAGTGTTTGGCCACGGTCTGGCAGAAGAAGCCTCACTCCCAGCCCTCATTCCCTGACCCAGGGTGGTGCAGACCCTTGGTGCAGCAGGTGGAAGCTCTGTCAGCACCATCACTGCCAGCTTTCTGTCCCCAAGGGGCCCTTGGCAATCCTGCAGTTCCCCCTAGGCTGGGGACACAGCTGGAGGGACACGGTTGGAGGCTGACGCTTGTAGGAAAATAAGACACGCAAAACTCTCAAGAGCACATCCAATTTCCACTCATTAAGCCATAATTTCCATCATTTTAATTACATAAAAGGCAGATAAATGGCAAGTATGCTCCTACTTGTGCCTTTTCTCCTAATTATTGGTCCTTTGCACGGGCCAGTTTGCAATGAATCAGCCTTTAAGCGGCGTTCACTCGGAACATGCTCGGCTTTATTTGAATTATCTTGTTGGATGATCATTCCCCAGAACATAATAAAACAAACATTAATTACTACTTCAGTGAGTGTAATCTTGAAAGCACTCAACGCTACTCGAATGCCACTGTAGCCTCACGTTCTGCACTTTGAGGCATTTGGGTAAACAAACTCATCCTGCAGGTCTGAGAGCGCAAGGCTGTAGCTTCAGGAAAGCATGGTTGGAAAATGTGCAGGTAAGGAAAAAGCTGAGCCTGCTCTCCTGAGAGCTCAGTGGGATGTCACATTGGATTGTACCACCTTTTGCAGCCCTTGGTACATCCATGAACATGTAAATGGCAACTTTCAGCTTCCCCTCCACTCCTGATGGCATTTCCAGCATTGTCACCAGAACACCCTGGTTGTCGTGGGGTAAGGATAGATTTAGCAGGATGCAGCCCAGCCATGTTTTAGCTGGGAGAGGGAGGAGACACGGCTGTAGCCAGGCAGCAGCATGACATTCTTCCAGCCAGCTGGAGTTCAGCATTATTAGACATTCCTCATACATGTATCATGCAGGAAACTTCTGGCGAGGTCATTCCCTGGCAGCTGTCCTTCCTGCTCCTCCACCTGCACAAACCCAGCCCTTGGGTTTGCTCCTGGACCTTGCTCCCCCTGGTTTACCCCAAAACTTTAGAGGCAAGGATGGCTTTCCTTGCCCATGGCCCCACTGCCTCCATGGTGCATTTCCAAGAGCATCCCTGCATTTCACTAGATGCAAAGTTGGGGAGAAGGCAGTTGCTGCCTGAATCTTAAAGACAAAAATCAAGTGAGGCAAGGGGAGCTCTTTCCAAGTGCTCATACACACACAGATACTGCAGCATCCAGCAATCCTGGCTCTGGAGGGTTTCCACTCAAACCCAGGTACATGCCAAGAAGAAAACAGCTTTCAGTGTCTTAAATATTCACTACTGGTGTTTTAAAGACTGATTTCACATCTGTGAAAGAGAAAGGAATTGAAATACACTTTTAATAAGAATGTAGTTTCATGTCATTTTGTTACCATCCCACCCATCCTAAAGGGCTTGTTTCCCCAAGGATGAGCAAATCCAGCATGGAGGGCACAGGGAGTCAGGGAGAGCTCTGGTCCAGGCCCAGCACTCTGGGGAGGAGAGGGAAGAGCAGGAGGAGGAGGAGGAGGAGGAGGTGGAGGAGGTGCTCTGAGGATAGAGCCATATGTTGCCAAGTTAATAAAAGACCTTGAAAAGCATAAATCCTCGGCATCCTGGCTGCTGGCCCAGGTGCATAATTTCCTTGCCATTGTGGGGGGAGCTGGCAGCATCTGTGTAACTCCAGCATGGAGCACTAATGAAAAGCCCAGGATGAAAGGCTCAGTCCCCAGGGACAGCGAGGGAACCCGTCTCTCTCCAGCAGAGCCGGTGTTTGTGTTGGAAGGGAGTCTGGCAGGTTGGAGTGAGGCTTCTCCTGCTTTCTGTGCCAGGGAGAGACGATCCAGCACTCCAGACCATCCACTTTCCCCGAGCACCCACGGCCTGGGGGTGCAGCATGCTGGGGGCATCGCCAGGGTGTCCCCCAGGAACACGGCCAAGGCCCTTGCCTGTGGCACAGATGGCAAGGACAGCTCCTACAAAGGGAAAAAAACTGCATTCCCACTGCACAGAGCTGAGCTGCAAACCTCACAGCTCAGAAGGGGAATGCTGGCAGGTGTTCCATGGGGTACCTGGGGAGGAGAGGCAGCAGTGAGGGGTGCAGGACCCCACAGCTCTGTCTCTGCCCAGCCCAGTGCACTGTCAGGAGGCCCCAGGATCTGCCAGCTGTGGGACATTTTCCAAGAAACAGTTTTCCCTCAGTAAAGCAAATATTCCTTGACCCACATGAGGCTGAGAAAGAGTAGCGGAGCAATTGTGTGTGTGACTCAACACAATACAAAGCCATTTGCCTCCACATTTGCCAACCTGAACATCCAGATGTACACAAATTAATGAGCATTATGATGAGCCTCATTAAAAGAACTGTTCTTCAGGGGAAGCATCTTCCCCAGTACCAGAGCTGTGCTCTGTTTGCTCAGCTATTAGCTGATGGCAAACTGTGAAATCCTCAGTTTCATTCTGGTGCTGATGCTTTGCTGCAGTCAGTCCCTTGCTGGAGCAAGAGGTGACAGCTCTGGATGCCACAAATAGTGATGGTAGCAGAGCTGGCCTCAACTCCCAGCCACTCCATAGAGGCCGAGTCCCCCACAATTGCAGCTGGTCTTTGCCCAAAAACAGCCCTACAAAACTAATCTGGGTGAATTCATTTTATATCCCACAGTGTCAGCAAAGATGCTGGGCTTTTCAGGGAAATAAATACTGCAGTGGGGTTTTTTTTGCCTGTTGTGGACTGATCCAAGGTAAGTGTTTATCCTTGCCTTAAGTGAGGAACCAGCGCTGATTCTCGAAGCCTCATTTTGCCTTTTACCATTACATTATATTAAAAGGGCTTTCAGGTTATCTCTTAAGTAGGTGATTTTCATTCCAGCCACATTCCCTCCCTTCTGGCCAGGCTCTCCCTAGAGCAGGATCTTCTCTTGCCTGTGCAGAAACATCTCAGTTTCTCTCATGCAGGTTCCTGGCAAATTCAGCACGTCAGGGTGTTGTAACCATCCCATTCCTGGGGGCACCCCTTGCTGAGCCCAGGTCCCCCCTGCCTCCTGCCCCCCTCCATCCTCTGGGAATTCACAGTGATGCAGAGAGAAGCCAGATGCTGCTGTGGCTGGCTCCCACTAACCTGCTGAGGCTGAGATCCAGGTTTTCTGTGGGGCAGCAGTGAGACTGGGACCAGTGCTGATGAAATCCACAGCTGAGCTGGTGAAGAGGAGAAAAAGGAGGAGAGAATTCAGCTCATGACCCAGCAGTGGAGAAACAACAGAGCCAGCCTCACCAACCCCTCAATTCTGAGACCACCACTGACTAACTGGAAGGAATGCTTGGTCCAGGCCCCATTTGAAATCTGAATTAGATTTTTCTCTTTCAGTGGATGAAAAAACTCAGTTTCCAAGAAGTACATCGAGCCCTTAATGAGTGTTTTAATTCCTAAATGGCAGTGGGTGCAGCAGAGGTGGTTATTTGGAGAGCAGATACCCCCAGCCCAGGAGTGCAGCTGTGGCTGCATTGCAATGAGGCGTCTGGCAGCCCCCAGAGCCAGCACTGACTCTCTCTTGCATCTAAAAGCAGACACGAGTGGTGCTTATTAATTTGAGTCCACCTCTGAATGCACTTAACAATTCAAGTCCAATTAGTTTTCAGAGTGCCCAGGTAGGAAGTAATCATTAAAAACATGTAAATTAAGTTACTGGGGAGCTTAATAGATTAGTCATTGACTTTCTAGCTTATGTTGGCTCTTAACCTTCAGCTTAAATTCATCATGAACAATTTCTCTCAACTGGCTGCACAAGGTGGAGCTGGGGGCTGCAGCTTTGCCAAAAGGAGAAGCTGGCCATGCCGTGGCATCGCCCTTGGGAGAAGGAGCCCACGCCAGAGCCCCCCTGCCCTTCCAAAAGTGAACACCTCAGCTGCTGCAAGTGTTTCATCTGCAGGCAATGGGCCCAGGATGGGGAGATGCCTTTTGGAGGGGGTGATCCCTGGGCACGAGGCCTCCTGGGGGTCCCACTCCCCTCTTGCCCCACTCTGCCTGGATCCAGAGTCCAAATCCCTTGACTGTGTGGGAGTGAGCACTTGATTAGCTACCAGACTGGTGTGTATCTGGAACGGGTGCCTCAGGGAGGAGCTGCTGGAAGGGCAGGTCCCTGCTCAGCTCTCCCACTGCCATCTCTCCTGTCTGAGCAGCCCCATCCCCCAGTCACCAAATTTTAGCTGCAACTGGAATTAGTAAGAGTTAATCTGAGATTATTAAATTGACTCCTACCTAATGTCCTAACAGATTAGGAGGGGCCTAATGGAAAGACAGAGTCTCCTGGGGGGACACAAACCTCTCAAGGTGTAAGAGGCACCTACAGAACCCCCACTGCCCTGGGGCACCCCCTGACCTAGACCCTCTCCCCATCCTGGGAAGCAGCTTTATTACAGAGGGGAAAATAAAGAAAAGATATCAGAAAAGATCTCAGGCTAGGAGCATTTGGGAAAGCTATTTCTAAAATTGCAATTACCAGGAAGGAGAACAAATTACCACTTCAGGGACCGTCGCACATGGAGAATCAGGGCTTCGGGAAATAATCAGAAGAATATATTCACAGAAGTGCATTATTTATATTGAAACATTTTGAAGTAAAGGTCACAAGGAGAAGTTGAAGATTAGTAAATAGGAGAACGCAAGGATTGCTTTGCTGCCGTAATGATTATGGTCCATTTTGATTATGACTGCATTAGTCACCGAGACGCATAAATCACCGCAGAGCAGCCAGGTATGACTCTTGAGGAGTTAAGGAGTTTGGGGGATCCTCCTGCACTCCTCTGATCCAGACCAGGCCTCATCTGCAGGTTCCCCCTTGGCAGAGCCACCTGGTGCTCTCCTTGAGCCCTTCCAGAAGTTCCCCGTTCCCTCAGCCTTTGGCCTTTGCTCCCGGGACCTCAGGGGTCCCAGAGCTCCAGCGCTCACGGTGACATCCAGGGACCCTGTGGGTGTCACCATCCTGCTGCTCAGCTCACCAGGCGCCAGGTCCTGGCAGGTTCTGACAGCACCAATCCCCCGCACAGAGGCAGCTCAAGCACAGGAGTTTTCTCCCCAAACCAAACAGCGCCTGTGCGATACAGCAGCGCTGCCAATCTTCCCTGCCTTCAGACTCCTTGTAAGGCAGTGGCCTCTTTTCCTCCCCTTTTATTATCTTAGGTCATTTTTAATACAGCGCCGACCTGTCAAGCTTCCCCTGGCTCCGTGTCAGCTATTACAGAGGACTTAGAGGAGATACACGGAGGGAGGTCTCACTGGGTGGTGCAGAAGGGCAGGCAAGGCAAGAGATAATGGTGCTGGGATGTCTCCCGAGCCCCCAGGCTGCTGAGCAGCCCAGGCAAGGGCTGTGGGCTCACAGCCACTGCCCCTCACACATCCCTCATGGGATGAGAGACCAGCCAAGCT